CTCTTCCTCAGTAACATGTTGGATGCCTTTCTACCTGAGGGGCTCATCTTCCAGCATCATATCTTTTAGCCTTTTGTTTTTGTTCATGGGATATTCTTGGCAAAGATACTGGAGTAGCTTGCCAGCTCCTGCTCCAGGTGGATCGCATTTAGTCAGAAATCTCCACTATGACCTGTCCGTCCTCGGTGTCCCTGCACAGCATAGCCCATAGCTTCTCTGAGTTACTCAAGCCCCTTCACCATGACAAGGCAGCAATCCATGAAGGAGTCGACAGCACATAAGGCCTAGCAAAGGCATATTGAGATCTCAATTCTGCCATATATACCAAAGCAGGCAACTTTATATGTAATCATTATAAACCGAGAGAATAGTGTGACTCTGCTTTGTTCTATTCTGCTTAAAGTAGCTTTCCACATAGATTATCATGTCAACATATTTGGAAGCACAAAATTGTACTGACTGTTAAGGGTTGGTCTCCCTTTCTTTTAATAATCCTCATTCTTCAAGAATGAAAGTGTATGATATTTAGAGCATTTTATCAGGGATAGTATAGCAATTGCTATTGTTGCATGGTTCGGCCCAACTTCCAGTTCCATTTAGTTGACTTTTAATTAGAATGTTTTCTTCATCTAATGCTCCTTCTCAGGTTAAATTTTTTAATTATTTGTTTTAGATTGTGTTTCCTGTAGTGGGGTAATTGAAATTTGTTGCTTAAAGTCATTTTACTTTTAAAAATGTGCTTTTACTAAAACTAGTACCAGATGTTTTATATACTGTATTATAATCTGCTTTGGAAAGACCGCAGTCTTGAACAGCTGCTAGGGAATACATTAAACCTATGAACAAAAGGACCCCCCATTCCAGTGTTAGAAGTCTAGACCCTATTTTCAGAGACAAATATATCTTGCAGAAGAACAAAGGGTTTGGTTCTAAGACCACTCAGGTACTGAAAAGCTAAGCATGCCTGTCCATGTTTGTGAAGAACTCTATAAGAATCTGTCCCATGGCCACAGGGGGACACCATGACATCAGTGCTAGTACTGGTGTATCTACCTGTAATAAATGTTGTCACATTGTTCCAAGAGCTGCCTGAAATGTACCTGCTTTTATATGAAGTCTTCAGGTCACCTATAAGAGAGGCAGTTAAACCAGCCCTGCAACTAAAATGGCAAAAGGCACTGTCCACTGACTGCCTTACGCACCATGAATACTTCTCTGTACAGGGACAAGTTTTTCTAGAGACACTAAGCCTCGGACCTTTTTCATGCTATGCCTCTGAGCTACAGAATTGCGCCAGCCAAGAGCAAGTGCTGTCATGAGCTGCCAAATGTATCTTTGAACTAAGAGGAGAAAGGCATGCAAGACTGAAGAACAAATAGAAACCATAGCTCTGAAATGAAGGTGAGGAGGGACAATGTGTGCAGAAGTGTGGCGGGGAAGACAAGCACCTACTTCTCTTGTACAGATAGCAGCAGCCCACCCTGGTCCCAACACAGTGCCTTGAAGATATTTAAGGCTGTAAGTCCCATCACAATCACCAGCACAGTCACCACACCTGCAGAGCAGCTTATTACAGAAAGCCCTTCTGCCCTGTTCAGGCTAACATCATGTAGAAAATTATGGCAGCTGCTACTTCGTATCTCAGTGACATTTTCTAGCACCATTATTGCAATGGACACCCACTATGGGATAGTGGACAGAGTGATAAACTAAGAGATGTGGGTTTGAATTCCCACAGGAAACTCATGAGAGGAAGAACTAGTAAAAACATCCCTTAAATATCTCACTTACCTTGAAACCCCCCTATTACGGTCACTATAAGTGAGTTCCAAATTGACAGCACATAACAGCACTCATCACATCATACTACATTTTTAATAAACATTTTTATTTTAAAATGAATGGTCAGAAGGGTCTAAGTTATAAAATCTTGATGTTTATGTTTGGTTCATAGGTTAAGAGTCACAACACTTTAATGTTTTTTGCGCATACTATTAAAATTACAAATAGCATTCATAAAAGCATTTTATACTAGGTATAATGCTTGCAAAACCTATGAAGCGTTTCTTAAACCTTGTATAAAATATTACTTGTTTTTGTCCATTTTACAGTATTCTCGAGAAAAGTGATTTTGCTGTGTTTCAGTAGCTTGAAAATAGTTGGCCATAATAACATCTATAGTTAATCATTCAACAAAGGTTTTCTTACTGATTTTTATACTTCTTTTTGTATAAATATATCTAGGATAATACCTTTTGTTTTCAAAAGAGCAATTCCTCTAAATACTGGACTTACATCATGAAGTGGAAAAGCTGCTTTATAGATCCCTGTGTCAAGTAGTTTATTGATGCCAAACTTCTTCACATTATCTCTTATAGCATATTCTCCACGGCAAAGGATAAAGTGAACCTGAAAAATCCCCAAAATTCTTAGAACTGAGCAAAATTTGCAGGAATCAGAGTAAAATAAATCTACAGATGATGTCTCTGTGTGTAGATTTCTAAAAAAACACACTGTCAAGGTCATACTATCCTCAACGAAGACTGTATATCCCAAATATGAAAATCACACTATGCTGAAAGTTGCCACATATAGCTCTCACAAGATGAGCAGACTATTTTTCACCAGCTACCAATAATTATGCTATTTTGTAACATTTATATTTATAAGAATCATAGCAACAAGAGGAGTATCCAAATTCACGCCCAATTTTCAGTTTCTAGTTCTTATGAATGTTGTCAAAGTCTTTAAAAGACAGAATTTCCTGAAAACATAGGACCCAGAAAGTATCAGGGCAGAGCACATCATGGACAAAATGCAAAAATTATTGTGATTTCCTGTTGCAACATTGCGTCTACTACGTATGTGCTAAAAATACAAAGGGTTTTCCTGTTAACAGCCCAAAACATTTATCCTTTGTTTCTCCCTCAAAACAATTCAGCCCTTACTCAATTTTTAAAAAAACATATCATACAAGACTGCTGAATGTATAAAATCAGGGCCTACAGATCTTTCTTCCACTATGGCTTTGTGGCCACTGGATTGTCAGATGGACAACTGGATTGTGGCTATATGTACACTTTTATCTAAGTGCCCCATAGCAGCCAGATTTGTCTCAAAACCACAAGAAGTGGCTGTTCCACCTGTCCTTAAGAACAGACTGTCCCACCTGAGATGAACAAGTAAGGTGGGCAGATCTCATTGGAAGCAGCTGTTCTGTCAGGTATGAGGCCCCAAACCGTTTTGGGCCTTGTAAGTTAGTATCATTACCTTGAAGTTGGCATGGAAATGAACAGGTACCCAGTGTAAGGTGGCTAGAGTGGCTTTGGTAGCCAGATGGGCGGTACAAAAATCAAATGAATAATAATACAGAATAATCTGTGAGTGACATGGCCCACATGTTACAACATTTGCTCATGTGAATATATGAGTAGCAAAGCCTGAACAAATTGTGGAACTAAAATTATAACAGCTGAATCAGTAAAAAGTGGGTTGAAAAAGCGTCATTACAAAAACAGGAAGCACCCTTTCTCCCATATTAAGCCACTGATCCATCCGACTCAGGACTCGTCCAGGCTGGGCAAATGTCCCATACCCTTTTCTCCTGGTTGGCTTGGAAGGGCTGTGAGGCTTAATAGCATTCACTTCCAAACTGGACTTTACAAGCCACATCTGTGAAAATTGCTTGTCTTCAGAAAAATCTTTGAAATCCTTTAAAAATTATGTTCAAAATGCACTTCCCCACTAGGGCTTATTTTCTAGACCAGTGGTCCCCAACCTTGGGCCTCCAAGATGTTCTTGGACTACAATTCCCAGAAGCCGTCACCACCACCTCTGCTGGACAGATTTCTGGGAGTTGAAGTCCAAGAACATCTGGAGGCCCAACGTTGGGGACCTCTGGTCTAGACTATTTTACACCCCCCCCCCGGTTTGTGTGCTAACTTGAAAGGCCACTGAAAGCTTCCAACCAGGAGACTCTAACCAACAAGTAAGCCCTCCCCCTCCAAACAAACCAAGACAAAATAAACTATGCCTTCTATGGGGACAAAAAAATTCACAGAACATGTTATTTTACTAACCAAGGCAAGATGGAGAGAAAATACCAATAACCTCAGCTACCTTAAGGAGAACAAATATCCTGTTTCTAAGATTGATAAGTCTCCAGACCTTCTTGCATATGCTGTGGATCCGAGGTCTCTTCCATGCAAGAAAAGAGAGTGTTATACCACAAAGCCATGGCGTTTCTCCAAGCGGTGGTGTTTTGCAAGACATAATCATTGCCTAGTGTTTGACTGCACCCTGCAGTGTTTTGTTTGTTTGTTGCTTTTTTGGTTTTTAGCTTTTAAGAACAGAGGAAAACATTCACCCAGATTGGCACTTACACACAAATTATACCCGTCCTTTTATATATATAACACTGGACACTTACTATTCGGCTCCTCATTGCTGGAGTGAAGAACATGTCCTTGTCCTGAATGTAAAAGTCTGACAAGCGATCATTCTCAAATGGAGCCGTGAAAAATTCCTTCTCTGGCTTGATGATATTTTCATCCACACGGAAACATTTACTAATCCAGCTAAATGCTGAATCGCGGGTTTTCAAATCATTTGGCTTTAGGGGCAGTTTGATGTGCATGACCTCAGCATAGCTGCACAGCACTTCCCAAGGTGCATGCACTTTCACAAATACACGCTTTTCGTCCAAAACCTGCAGGAAAATGACACTTTAAAATTTCACACACTGAGAAAGGTTTCACGATGGTTTCAAAATCTTCTTCAACCTGCTCATGAGTCAGGTCTCTCCTTCACAGGGGCTGGTCCAAACATTGCAGAAAAGGGAATGTTGCTTGGGTCAAACAATAGAAATGCTGAGACTTCTCTTTGTGAAACAGATTTTAGTGCACCGAAAACCGCTGATACCTAAAGGCTCTTACTGAATTGATCACAGAACCTCTGCTGTCCACGGTACCTGAGACATAGGGCATTAAATTAAAATAAATAGTGGAGAAAAATGCAGCACAAGGCCACTTCCACATACATTTAATTTCTTCTGCATCTGATGGAAGAATTAAAATGTTCCAAGTAACATGAAGAGAATTTAACTCACCGATCTTGTTGCTTCAAGCTGCAAGCCACGGGTTATCAAGTTAGACTCATATGCCTGTCTCTTTCTCTGTTAAAATTGGATGGAAAATGGTGAAACATTTCATCTTGAGAATTCATAGTCTTCAACAGAAGCACATATAAATGGAATTTAAACCTTAACAACAACAACAATAAATACTATTTTCACTCTATGCATTTAATTCCAAGACTACTGGTTAGAACCTTCTTCAGGCATTACTGGCTCACACATCAAGTTCTAAAGGTGACCTCATAACACATTTTATGTGGATGAAAACAATGGAATGAATCCATGCAATGGGAAAATATTCAAAAATATTGCTTTATCTATAAGCACACCTGCCAGTAGGTGGCCAGTATGCACATGAAACAGCCTTTATTAGCAAAGCCTAAGGGTGACAGCAGCATGCACAAAACAGAAGAAAAGTGGTTGAATAACTGAGTTTGAGGTCTGGCGACACCTTTATTGCCTTTTGTTGTAAAACAAAACAAGCAGAGTTATAAACAAGTTGAGCTTTCAAGTTCTCCAGAACTCCTCATCAGGAAAAGATAACCATCTGCATAGCTCAAAAACTGGTCTAGACGCACATGTCCAATCTAAACTCTATTTCATTTTGTTGCAAACTGGCTTCATGTGCCACTGTCAGTACAACCTTGAACTCTGTCTCTGTGAATGAATCACAAAGTCACTTTCTGAGTGGATATTGAATTACAAGAAATAATTCCAAATATAATACAGATCACCAAAATCTTTTCCAACTAAAAGGCACCGGTATAATGCTTTGCTTAACTACAGAAGCTGTACATTATCATAGCAACAGTAAAAATAAAATTAACTCCTCCTAATGATAATGATGATGGATGAGATTGATGATGATTGTTGTCAGATTATTATGTGCATTGGGAGGAGAAAAAGTACCAGAATACATGGAAGGAGTCTAAGATGCCAAAGGGAGAAAGGTTTTTTTTTAAGTGCCTCAGGTACAAAGCATTAGTGTTGTCCCTGGTTCCATCTTACAACATCTGTAGGATTTTTATACAGAATAAAGAGAAAGGTAGGAAAGGTAGGACTATGTAAGAAGAAAATGCATGTGTTACTTTCATGATTTTTTAAAAAAAGATTATGCTTCATCGCTTCTTGGCCTTTTGGCTACGATCAAGCGTCATGCAGTGCAATGGTTCCCAATCTTGAGTAAGCCAGGTGTCAGTGCAATGGTTCCCAATCTTAAGTAAGCCAGGTGTTCTTGGACTGCAGTTCCCAGAAGCCTTCACTGCCAACTGTGCCTGCCAAGGTTTCTGGGAGCCTTTTAAAACCCATTTCAGGCCCTTGCAGGACCATGTCCCCCCCCCTTTTATTTTTCTCTTTCCCCTTCTATTCTTCCGTCCTCTTTTTTTCTCCATCCACTCTTAGTTTATATGATTAGTCGGTGCCATCTGCCTATTCTTGCGTCCTCTTTTTTTCTCCATCCACTCTCAGTTTATATGATTAGTCGGTGCCATCTGGGTTTTTTGTTTTTTAGGGTCATTGTTTTTAATGTTCCTATTTTTATTTTTGTTTTATATTATATGTGTTGTAACCCATCCAGAGTAGTGTTGTGACACTAATGGGAGTGTGATACAAATCCAACCAACCAACCAATTTTTTATAGCTCACTATATATGTAAAAAGAAACTTCCCAAGCGCCTTCTCAGTTTGCTAAGTGATCAAGCCATGGATTACTTTATTTGATAAGGAAAAAATGAGTCAGTGAAGATTGCTTAATTGTGACGTCAGACTCCTAAACTGGATGTTCTCTTCTCTGCTTCCCGATTACTTTATTTGATTAGGAAAAAATGAGTCAGTAAAAATTGCTTAATTGTGACGTCAGACTCTAAACTGGATGTTCTCTTCTCTGCTTCCCACTATATATTGAATGAAAACATGCCTTCTTTTCATGTCCTGTTTAACTTGGAACTGTGTGGACTCAGAACATTGTGGATGAGAATCTCCTTCTTATATGTTGTGCTAGAGAGAGTAGAACACATATTACATACAATATTGATTTATTAAGTTATTTCCATCTTTTTAATCAAAATACCTTAGGCCATGACATAAAGCAATTTAGAGCAACTGAAAACAATGCACACAACAGCGGAATTGTTGATCCCTAGGTTTTAAGAGCTTCAGTGAAGAGCCAGGTTTTTCTTGGCATTAGAAGAAGGCCACCAATGACACTCATTAGGCCTCAAAAGGGAGAGACATTCCACAAATGGGGTGCCGCTGCAGAGAAGTCTCTATACAATATATTGTCTCCAACCGGTGGAAAACAAAGGAAGTCTTTTGCTTCACAGCAGATCTCAGCACTCAAGCAGAATAGATTGTATAATTCTTTTAGAACCAATATCACAAGGTTTCTGTAACGCATTCCTCTTAACAATTTACCTTCACATAGGGCACTATTGGAAGTCCTTGTGTCATCTTCAGGGACAGTCCCATGTAGAAAGCATTACTGTAATCTATATCTGAGGCCCTTCTAGTATTGACATTAGTGCTGAGACAAAAAGACTGTAAGCTCCCCATAGCCACACTGTTCTTCCGGCAGAAGGCACAATTCTACCTCCAACTGTTAGCAGAATAGAACAGAGATCGCCTTGCTCTGTATGTCACCCAGAAAAGGGAAGCATGATCTCTTTGGGCATCAGAAGTGGGTAGTTTCAGTAGATGGTGAGTGTTCCCCTTGGGATAAGACACTAGATTTGGAGGATTATGTCTTACAGGATAAACACAAACCACTGCTTGCCAGTTTAGATGCAACAGCAAACTATGGCATATGCTAAAGAGAACTGAAGGCGGGCCTGCGTGCTCTGGTCCATGGGGTCACTATATGTTAAAGAGAACTGAAACTAAGCATGTGAGACAAAGAAGGGGGTGGGGTGGGGAAAACAAACACATGTGTACAACATGTGTTCTATTTTGTGTTATGTTTGCCCTGAGCCTTGTAACTATGAGAAGAGTTATACGTTCATGGGTTGAAACCTCTGATGATCATGGCTGAAACTAAGCACGTGAGACAAAGAAGGGGGTGGGGTGGGGGGAAACAAACACATGTGTACAACATGCGTTCTATTTTGTGTTATGTTTGCCCTGAAGCTTGTAACTATGAGAAGAGTTATACATTCATGGGTTGAAACCTCTGATGATCATGGCTGCAACTACAATCATTAACTAGAAGCCTTAGAAAATAATGTTCCAAAAACAACTTGGACAGGCTTATGCTCTTAAAAACAAAAACAAAAATAAAAATGTGCTGAAAACTATTGCTATATTAATTTCACTTGTACCTCTGAGTTACAAGAACCACATCTGGCCCAGCTTCAGACATCATGTTAGTTTCGGTTTGCATGATCAGTCATACAGATTAATTCGTGAGACCAGTGACTTTTCATATGACTGCAAATATTTTGCAAGAACACTTCCCTTTTTGGAAAAAGTTGAAAATACACTAACAAAAATACATTATATGGATTTGTGGAAACTTTGTTCCACCCCTTTTCAAAAAGGGCTTTCCTTTTTCTTAAAGAAACAAAGTTTCCATGAACAAATATATTTTATATGTCTTGATGATGTTGTTTCTCAGCTGATCTACAACCTGGTTTCTATAGGCAATCGTACTTAAGCTAAAGATCAGAAAGATAACACAGTACACAACATACGACAGGATATGATTTCTTAATCTGGAAAATGGTGAATCATTTTCTATTTTTAAATGCACAGTAGACATTTAGGTTGCACAGAGGCTCAGACTCAATAAGAAAATTCTTCAAAAACAAAACATTATTTTAAAATACAAAACGGGGATCCACTACTTCAGCTGATGATTTTTGAACCAATCTAACAAGTACTGAATATATATAAGAGATTGGGAGTATAATATACAAAAAGATAGTAAAAATGCTACACCATTGAATGTACTCCCAAAGTCTTTAAGTGCAGTTTCACTGAGGCAGAAGACAAAGACATGCAATAATTAAGACCGCAAGGGACATTTATAAGTGCACCAGCCCGCTGTTAGGGATGATCACAAAACCCTCAAGCAACTTAAAATTTAGCGCCACTTGACAATGCCTGTGACCCTGGCTGACTGCAGAATGCTGATCACTTTGCAAATGTTGGTTGAGTAGAAGCCTTCTCCAAAGTCTCCCTGGATGATTCTGTTTAAAAAGTTTGGAAAATATACATTTCTGGACTACAATACTCAAAATCCTCTATGGCCACTTTTGATGCCAAAAGAAAAGAAACTCACCTACCCCTTCCTCCCCTTTTCTTTTGTCAACAAGGTGAGACAAACTAATGTAGCTACTTCTTTAGGTTAACATGGCCACTTTGTAACTCTGCAAAGCTCCTGGTATTTATGTCATTCCTATACAGTACTTTTCCTATAATAATGACTAAGCCACACATGACTAAGGGACGTGGTGGCACTGCAGGTTAAACCGCAAAGCCTCTGGGCTGCAAGGTTGAAAGACCAAGCAGTGTGAATCCACACAACGGAGTGAGCTCCTGCCAACCTAGCAGTTTGAAACCATGTAAACGCAAGTAGATAAATAGGTACCACCACGGTGGGAAAGTAACGGCATTCTGTGTCTAGTTGCGATGGCCACGTGACCACGAAAACTGTCTTCAGACAAACACTAGTTCTATGGCTTGGAAACAGGGATGAGCACTGCCCCCTAGAGTCGGACATGACTGGACAATTGTCAAGTCTTACCTTTACCTAAGCCACACATGCAGAAAAATAACCCAGTGCAGCCTGGACAGACAGAATGAATGCATGAGTACTTTCTGTTTAACAGGGACAATGGGTTCATCTCCCCCCACCACTTCCTGTTACAGTATCTTCTCATAAGGATGTGCACATCTGTACAGTTCGTTCCGCTCTGAATGCCTCAATTTGCATCTCTATGTACAGTATATCCATACCTAGTTCCATCAAATAATGTCTTCCCAGGGTGAGCCACACCCTTTTATTTATTTCTCCTCAAACATATCCATGTACTTCTGAATTTACCTGCACTACTCCAAGTAGCTGGTGGGAAGAGCATTTTCCCACATAATTTCATGAACTATCTGTCTTGATACACAAAAATTGAATGGGTGCACATATGTCTACTTGTGTGTGTGTGTGTGTGTGTGTGTGTGTGTGTGTGTGTGTGTGTGTACATGTGCACATCCTATACACAGACAGAGTTTTGGACATGGGCATAGATATTTACTTTGGGACTGTCAATATGGGTATCTGCATTTCAAATTTTACCAGTACACACCTATACACAGACAGAGTTTTAGACATGGGCATAGATATTTATTTTGGGACTGTCAATATGGATATCTGCATTTCAAATTTTACCAGTACACAGCTGATCAGTACTGAAGCTGGATGGAGGAATGGCAAGGTCACCAAAATTCCATGAGAAAGATTCACTGCCTATCGAAAGCTAGCAAGTAAAATATATGGTCTGTATGAGTCCCTGGTTTTCTACATGCCTTGATTTATTTTTAAATCTGGAAAGCTTTCAAATATGTAATTTCAGGTGGCACCGTTTGAAGGCTACATCAAAAGAGTCTTGAAAAGGAAAATGGGGTTAGGAGTGGGAGAAAATGGGAATTATTATACATTACATCTTGGTACAGGAAGTATAATTTTTAAAAAATTCTTCATTTTTATATTAAATCATCTCTTCACAGTAGATGTTAAGAGAGGGAACCAAGAAAGCCATCACCAAATACATCTAAATTCAAGGGATCATGAGTCTTTCAGCTGTAAGGAGCAAGCAAAATCAAGGGGAACAACAGCAAATTTTATCTTTGTTTGAAATTACGGTACATAAATAACAGTTCAGCTTGTACATAGTTACCACATTCTTTGACTAAGAATTTAATGGAGGAACAGCAATGAAAACAGAAGCCTAGAATAAATCATGAAAACAAAGCCTTGACCAACAGAAGCATAAAAGAGAAGACAATTCATACCATTTGCTTTCTATGAAAGCTCTTCTTGTGACCGTCTTTTTTGCTTTCATCTTCATACACTAAAACAAAGTCAATTCTTCTCTGGCCATCGTTGAAGTACAACGAATCAGGCTTCAGGTTAAACTCAGCCTGTAAAGAAAAGATCATGCCTGTATTATTATAACAGTTTCCCCAATGATAAGATGGGTTCTTGTCAAGAACAATCTATTCTCAATATTAAAAGTAACAGTGCAATGATCATTGAGATTACCCACTTTAATCCATTTAAATTTCATTTAAATTTGAATGGCCATGTTGAATCGGCGAGCTCTCCCTATCCTCTTCCCACTGCTGCTAGAGGCTTCAGAAATGTTGATACGAAAGAACTCTTATTTCTGTTTACTCTCTAAAGAAGGTGTGAAGAAAGTGTGTTACACAGATTACATGGAACCCTCCCAGGTCCCAAATGAGAGTCCTGAGTGCCCCATGCCCCCTTGAGCACTCTCTACAGATTCAAAAAATATATATTTCAAAGGTTTTTAAAATGTTTCGCTCCAAAAGTCTCCTTGTGTAATCTAGGGGGTATGACCAAAACTTTGCCGTATTTTGGGATTTCTCTGGTCTCCTTGCCCCATCACAACTCCCAAATAAAGGAACAGTGCTACTAGAGGGCACAAGGGGGCTTCTTCAGTAACTAAAGACCTTTTAAAAACATTTTGAGGGGGATCTTTTGAAGTTGTCTATCCCATTCTAAAAACAGAAAAGTCTCACAGGCCAGTGTAAAGTGCTTTGTGAGAACCGCCATGCAGTTCACCTATCCATGCAAAGTTGTTTCATTGAGTCAATACCTAGTAAAACTAAGCAAAAGGCAACTAATCCTCTTGGGTTTTAATGCTAAGAATAAATACGTAAGAAGTGGTGAGAAAACATGGGAGAGTTACCTATGACACACCGAGCCTTTATAAAATTCTGTATGTGGAAGTACCCAGTGTGATAAAGTGGTGTTCTTTTTCTCACATGTGTAAAAATGATATGAAGAGCAAAACAAATGGCATGGGGCATCTCATATGGAGAACACACATCAGAATGTGGGTTTCACAGGATGAGGGGAAGGGAGATTTAAAGCACAATGAAAGTGAGAGAGGTTGGAGGTATACTTGCCCGCCCATATTTGCCCTCCCCAAAATGTTACTCACACCTATCATCTTCAAGACCCAATGAACTCTGAATAGGTCATTAAATTTTATGAGAAAGCGAAGAGAATTTTAAGTGAAAAAGCGCTTACCCATTCTGGCATACGCAGTGCTTGTTGGCTGACTACTGCTCCATAACTGGGAATAATAGTTTGTTCCAGTTCTTCCAAGACTGAAAATGAAAAGAAGAAATATTTTACTATGATTATAGTTTTCAGTGGCATGACTTCCACTTCATTTTCAGGAGAAATGCTCAGTTCTGCCTTTTCATGCCTTTCACTGAGAGTTAAGAATATAACATTCTGAATTATATGAGGGATTATCCAATCACATCAATTTCACAGCCAACTGCCCTATAAATGTCTTTTGCTGGGGCTCTTCGGGTAGGAGTTAGCAGAAAATACACTCCTTGGTTTCCACAATAAATCTCCTGCCATGAGAGCTGGGGGGGGGGACATAGTCTTCACAGGTCCCCACTTATAAACTACTGAAGAAAGAGTTCTCCAAACACAATGTCAGGTTTGTCAATGCAGTTGTATTGCACTTGTTTCCAGCACAGCTAATTCAGTAGATGCTTTTATGGATGTTGTGACATCTATATGAAGATTTCCATGCTTTTATCAGGCTAATTTTAATCACATCAGCAAGCTTGATAATATTAAGTGAAATAATACCTAGTCATTTGAATGAAACCATGGTGTAGGTCCAGTGCCACAACAGGATTTTCTCCCCCTCCCCTGCTATTCTTCACATCACCTGAAAAAAAAACTGAAGGTTTCCATGGCCCCAAGATTGAATTTTGATGGCTCATGGGGAGCTGCAGGGGGGCTCACTTCTTCCGATTTCTATGTATTGAAGCCATTCTTTCAACAGAGATACCCCAATGCAGTGGTTCCTAATCTTTGGCTCTGCAGTGTTTTGGATTTGAGCTTCCAGAAGCCCATATAGCTTGGCCAGTATTCAGGGATTCTAAGATTCATACTAACAGGACTGTTATGCTTAAAAACATTCACATGCTCTTTCCCTGGCAGTACTTACAATATTAGTATAATATCTGAAATTGACCTAGGATTATACCTGTGGGTTGTGGCAATCTAAATGTCATGTATTGTCTAGCTCTCTGGTTTAAATTCTATCATTTTATATAGTTGGTTTGAAACTTTTCTTCCAGATGTGGAGAATTCCATTTCCCATAAGCTGTTCTGATTGATTTTCTTTATTCCAGGGAGAGAAGCAAAAGAACTTTCCAAGCAATTTTCCATTAACATTAAACTTAAGTAATATATGAGTCATCGCTTCCTTTCTGGCCCTTCACAGCGATCAGAATGGGTAGGATTTCAAAACAAGGGAGGAATTTGGCACTGACAGAGGAATTATAACAACAGCTTTGAAAGCATAACATTTTAAATCACAGATTTTGAAAAAGGAACTCAAGGAGATACTCTGTAGTGACTTACACATAAAATATAAACAATGAATCTGAAAACAAATACTCATGGTATAGTGATACAACTACTTGCACTATAAAATAATTGCTACTGAACAGTCTTATACTTGAAGGTTGTATTAGCATTTTAAAGGAAACCTAAACATTAACAGTTTCATCTGTTCAAACATGAAAATTCAAACATCTGCATATACCAGTACAGGTTCAACTGGCTCAATTAGAAGCATTATTTTGCTTATTTTGTTTCATGTAAAGAAACATTTGGTCGTTCTACATTCCAGATCTCTTGTATTTAACAACGCCCAGGGCCAAATATTGGAGAGGCAGTTCCATAAGAAATATGAGTACTGTATACCCCATACCTATGTACAATGATGTAGTTACACAGCAAAATGTATCTTAAATTAACAGTGCATCATTAAGGCATCTTCTGGGGGAAATGCGGAAGAGCTAATGGGAATAAACTATTGACCACAGCTCATACAGGGCTGAATCCTCGATAGTAACAGGGAAGAATTATAATCAGGGCTGATCTACTGAACTCGCATTTTTTCTGCACTCTTAGAAGATCTGCTGAAATTAATGGGCCTACTGCGATTGCTTTGATCAATAAAATCAAAGCACTGTTACAGAGTTGCCATCATTGTAACAAAAGGTTTAAGTGCAACTGTTATGAACATCATTCTATACAGCACTTAAGTTTATTCAACTAATGGAGTATTCCACAAACAACAACTTGTATAAGTATATACCCCCAAACTGCTGGAAAAGTATCAAAAATATAAGAAGAACTCAAATTTGACAGTGAAAAAGAAACAACTAAATTTCACAATGGTAGTTTGTGATGCTAAGATAGGGAAAGAAGCTCGCAAAGTTTTTGTTGGAAAATACAAACGGATAACATGAAATCAATGTAGAGAAGAAGTTACTAATGCCACATTCAGATTACCTTATACATAAAACCATCTACATGACAGCACTAAGAATAATATTGGAAAGAACCAAATAGTTTCTATCTTGCTTAAAATCCAAAATGCCAACACAGTGTCCAGCAAGTGACAACTGATTCTAGATTTTGTGCTTATTAAGATCAAAATCATGTCCTCATGACCGCCAATGACCCATGACAATGGGTGGAGAAGGACGGCAGAAGTGGGATTATCCCTCACCCCCAGTCCTTTGTCCTTCTAATGAGTCTATTCAGACCAGGGGGAAGTGAAACCAACGTAGAGGATATATCAGGGATCTCCTACCTCTCCTCAGACTGAGGAGAACTGGCAGGAGATCTTGGATGAGTAGCAAAAGGTTTCAATCTAGAATTGGTAGGAGATCTTGGATGAGTAGCAAAAGGTTTCAATCTAACAAGAAATAAGTCCATGACTAAACTTCCAGATAACCACACCTGGATGAAAAGTCCATGACTCAACTTCCAGATAACCACACCTGGATGACTGGGAATCTTCACAGATACCTGTCCTCACTGTAATAAGTAAGTAAGTAAGTAAGTAAGTAAGTAAGTAAGTAAGTAAGTAAGTAAGTAAGTAAGTAAGTAAGGAAGTAAGGAAGGAAGGAAGGAAGGAAGGAAGGAAGGAAGGAAGGAAAAGATCAGGACGGCATAGGACATATTTTTTAAATGATAATGCCCACTAGAGAGAGAGTAATCATTATCTAATACAGTGGTGCCTCGCATAGCGAGGTTAATCCGTTCTGGATTAACCTTCGCTATGCTGAAGCATTGTTGAACGGGGCAGGGAATTCCATTGGAACGCATTAAACATGGTTTAATGCATTCCAAATGGGCCGAATACTCACCGTTCAGTCAAGGACGAAATCCCAGTGGGGTGTGTATGTTGTTTGATATAGACCAATAGAATTTATATTACCAGATGTCAATATAGAACAGAAAATCACAGAAATCCGAAATACACTTCAGCTAAGAAAAACTGGCAAATCTTCTAACCTGAATTATATTTTCATAAAAGCATTAAAGCTAACAGAAGATGATCACCTGGATGTTTTACTGAATCTTTTCAGTCTATTCTATAGAACAGGAATAATTGGTGAAATCTAGCTGAGAATGACCTTTATCACATAATCACCAAAGGAAAATGTTGAAGCTTGTAACACTAGATATGCTGATTTATTAAAAATGCTAAGAATTTATTAGAGGACGGGCAATGAAAAAAATACTAAAGTATTTCTAAAAATGAATGAAGTCCAAGAAAACATAAAACATATGACTGAGCACAACTTCAGTTATTTCAAATGTGTTTAGTGCATTTTCTTTTCTCACATCTTAACTGAAAATACTGTATGTGGTACAGTGCTCCATACTGAAAATTTTAACAATTTTTTTAAAAAAGATAACACAATGTAGTGTACATTGAATTACGTGGGTAGATCCTTTACAGCTATGTTCCTGTTGTGTTAACATTAAGACATTCATCAAACAGAAAGACATATTTAAAAAGTAATGTTGTTTACTTTTCTTTCAGGCTTTATTGACTTCTATTTTATTCATTTTTAATGAAACTCATAAGTTTGATTTTTAAAAATATACACTTTGTGTACATTTAAGGGGTGTGGGGAAGAAATGGTCTGCTCTAGGCCACATGGAAAGGAAATGTTTTCCTTAAGCTAGAGAAAAATCTCCCAAGCACAAAATGAACTTTAGTTCAATCTTTCCACTGATTAAATTCAAGCACAGTGTGATACAAATCAAAAACAGAGCTCAAATGTAAAAAAAAACAACAACAACACCCTTCCCTCTTCCATTCTCCTCTCTCTTGTTTTCTTAGTTCGGCCCCAGTAGTTAGTAAGATACAACTTGCGTAAATCAAAAAGTATGGCTAAATAGACATATGAGTAATTAGTCAAACAACTGCTCTCACACGCCTATTATTGACTGCTTCCCAGAATGTCTTCATTGTCTCTTCTACACTTTCACCACAAGTTCTGTAGTGTACCGTTAAGACAGATTCTCAAGATACTGACAGAATTCACTTCTTCTACTGCATACTATTCTCTAGCAAAGTCCAATTATTTATCATTAAATCTGCTCACACACACTCCTGTACATAACAATAAAAGGCCTGCTGCCTCTTGATCAGATATGTGTTTTCTTCCTGAGATTCGGGTTCCTGATCTTCTGCTGTTTGCAGTCGGTTTACCTGTTCTGCTTACCTGGCAGTTGTTCCATGAAGGTTTAGAAAGAAACTGGCTGCCCTGGTGGCTTGCAATGTGATTCACATGTGCTCTGACAAAAATCAGGATCTCTCACATGAGCTCTGGCAGCATTTCCCCCTTGTTCTTGTGCAAGAACAAAGTATCTACACAGAAAAGTCTTCAAAGCAAAAAAGGCTTGAGGTGGTTATCTGTGTAAGTGAAATTTTAAACTTGGCTTCAGCACATGAAGATAGCAACCTGCAGCCCTCCACCATAAATATGCCAGTTTTTTTTCCTTAAAGAACCAATACAGAAAGGCGGAGGGAGGAGAAAAGAAGGAATCAGGTTTGCCAGGTGGGAGGTTATTCCAGCCCAAGCAGTTTTTACCATGTAAATATTTGTTGCCTCTCTGTGAGCAATGTGCAAAAAATCTTGAAGAACTTGACTGTCTGGAATGACACAGGAATATACAGTACTAAATGACAAGAAAGTGAAAAGTATTAGGGGAAAGACTGTTACTGAAGCCCTTTCTTCTCAGATATGGCATTTAAAAGAATGCT